GTGGTGTTGGCAAAGATGCTTTAAGATTTCAGAAGTGTATAAAGAGAAAAATATCATGCCTTTCTATCTCCTTATTCCACTCTTTGATGTAGTCAATGTTAGTAATTGGCATGCAATCTTTAAAGATTTTTCTATGCATAAATAAACATGTAAAATACAGGCACACACCTATACGGGTGTTTTCCTGTTACTAATAGAAATAAAACCCTCTTTGTGGAGAGTACTTTAGCTTGCTCTCTGTCTCTGTCTCAATCTCTCTCTCTTACTCGCTTGCTTCCCATTGAGTCTTTCTGAACTCTGCTCTAGAGCCTCAACTTTGATAATCAAAATGGGCTATCAAAGTGTTTTGCTAAACAAAAGACTATGCCACCTCTCTAGAAGAAGTGGAAGAAGTGGATATTGTCTGTTGTGGTTTTGAATAACAGCTCCTCCTGCCCCGCCCATTCTGCTCTTCTTGTTACCATCTCTAGCATATACACCACTTAACACTTTCTTATTCTACATTCTGTTTCATATATCCTGGTTTGAAACTCTAACTAGATTCAAAGGCGGTTGAAGTTTTATACTTCCCCTGACTTCTAATCAGACTCCAACTTGTAACAAGTCAGAACTCAATAATTAAAGTACTTTTGTCCTTTTGGTTCTATAATTTATGGGCACTGTCTGAATTTGGAAAATTTTAATCAAATGTGCCTTTTTAATGATGTACCCTTTCCTAAGTGGGTCACCTCAGAAACCCGTCCCTTCAAAAGTCATGATTACTGCAGGCATCCCCGAAGAATTAAGAAAAGACACGACTATCATGAATGCCCATGATCTCATGGAAGGAGAAAAGAAAAATGAAGCAGGATGGGGAAATGGGTACGTACGAGTGGCCACCTTGGCAGTGATGGGAAGGCTGAGGATGTTGCTAATGACAGCGTAGACGCTGATGTTGTAGGTGAGACCTGGCTCCAGCTCCGTGATGGTGGCACCAGTCCAATCTCCAGGCACCCGCTGCTGGAGCTGGAGGCCCCCCAGGGCCGTTGGCTGGTAAGAGATCACATATTCCGTCACTGCCATCGGCCCGTCCCATTCCAGCTCAATGGACCTGTCGCTGATACCAGCCACTCGCAAGTCCTCTGGAGGGGCAACTACCAGGAGGCAATACACAGATAGCGTGAGCTCAGAGGACTGCCGTCCCCATCCTCGACTGACTCAGCCTCTCACTTAGCACCTCACCCACATCCCTGTCTATGTCCTGCAGGTCTTGGTGGCTCTGCATGACCTCCCACTGCCCTCGTGGGCAGTGGCTTGTTTTCCTGCACTAGGACTCCCATCTCCATAGGGCTGTGAGTTAATGGTGGGTGACACTGGCTTTTACTGGCTTGTAGATGCTGATAGATTTCTGAAAATTGTCATACTTTAAGCATTTTTGTAAGAGAGATGTTAATTATGAACATTATTAAAGATTGAAGTCAATAAACTTATATTTAAGTACATTATGTGTTTTTAAAGAGGTAATACATAACCAATAGCCATCACTTTGAAATTATTTCCCTACATTTTGCTGTTTTCCATGCCTTTAAGGTAATTTACATGTTGTGTCTCGAGTAGAAATACTACGTAATTGTGTTCTACTGCACATCTGTTCCCAATTTCACCTTTAGTGCATCATGTTGGTTATTAGAAATGGGCCACAAAGGGAGAATTTACACCATGGAAATTGGCAAATACTACAAATCAGAGCTTTTAATTTTTTTCCCCTTGGAGAACCAGTTAGATATTTAACAGCATAACACTGGCCAAATTCTTTGTAGTTTTATAAGTTATTGTCACTCTATGACGAAATGTTAGCCTAGGAGCCAACATTTGATTTAGTAAGTGGAAATAATAGCTTATTCTTGATTATCTTGCAAAACATAAGCCAAAACAGGAAGTTCTTCATTCCATGAATTGAAGCCAAAACAGGAAGTTCTTCATTCCACGAATTGAAGACATCCAGGAACCCTTTATTACAGTATATTCCTCTTTAAAAGAAGACTACATTTGAAAGAAACAGAACATATGATAAGCTTATTTCTTAATCTTGATTGTGGGATGATGGTAATGATGTGCTCTTGAGGGCTTTGCATTTACTTCTTGTTCTACTTCTCAAAGAATCACCGAAGAGTAAACCTTATTGAAAATCTTTCATATATGCTTCCCTTGGGAAGTGAAGATTCAGCAGTCATGAGGATATAAAATAATTGAACCTTTAAGTACAATCAGGAGGCTAACTCCAGTGTTCCTATAATTAGATCTGTCCATAATTAAATCAAATATTAGACCAATATTTAAATAACCATTATTAACTTACAAGTTTGTAGGTAGTGGAGGTTCATTTAGTTTAAGAGTTATCATTGTTTTTGAGTATCTCCTCTGCGTTCTCTCACTCTTTTACCTTTACAATACTTAGGACTGAACCAGTTGCTATTCACAGAACCCTTAAGTGGTCTCTGTTGTTCACCTCTACAGCAGTGGAAATGGGGAGCCCTTTAGTTGACCCCAGACTCTTGGAATGGAGAGTTGAAACATGTACTTGAGATGTTGGACATTTTCTTTGATTGCTATTTGTTGCATAAAACAATCTAGATAGCGGGCTTCTTCTTATTGAAAATGACAAATGATAGAAAATCAAAAAAAATTACAATTTCTTAAAATCCACAAAACTAGAATAAATGAAACTTACACAATTAAATGTTAAAGTGATAATTAATATCATGTCTAATTCTTGTATTATTAAAGCTTTCAACGGCACTAAGGCCATTGGGACTTCCTGTATAATACCTCAGAATGACTCCTTGACCAAGGGAAGAAGAATTGTTATATAGAACTGGTCAGCATTTTGAATGACTGTATTAACATTTATTATGCACCAAGCCAAATACTAAGCACTCCTACATGGGTTATCTCATTTCATCCTCTCATTGTACTATGGGACGGATGTTTTTATTACCTATACTTTATAGTTAAGGAAATGGAGTTGCCTTAACAGTTCATAAACATAAAAGCTAGAATTTGAGCAGAGGCAAGATAACTCTAGAACCTCCTAACCAGTATACAATAACACTTTACATTTACATAGCACATTCACAATCTATCAAACATCTTCAGACACACTATTTAATGATAATTTAAAACATTAACGACATCGTTTAATAACAGCTCTATAAGTAGCTCAGATAGATATAGTAACCCCAACTTTGCAAGTGGGGAAACTGGACTCTAGATTAAGAAAAGCTCAGATCTTCTACACTTATTGTCCTCACCTCTGTAATTTGTAGGACAGGTTACACATAGCACTGGATACCATCTTTTACCTATGTGCAATACACCCCCCCCCCCCAAGTAAACCACATTAGCAGATAATCCAGACTATCTTTAGGGTGTGAATTCAGACTGGTGCTAGTCCTAGAAGTAAGGAATTTACTTTGAAAAAGACTCTAATTCCTGTCCACTAGATTCCAAGATTCCTCTGTGGGATTTTTCCTATCTTAGTAAGGACTCAGCTATTCCAGTTTTCAAGCCACCAATACCTCTTAGGGCATTTGAGACAAGTCAGTATACCCCCCTTTCTTTTTTTTACAGTTCCTTATTCTAAAAAATAAAGTGCATAATGAAAAATGGAGAATGGTCCACACAGAGCATGAGACCGATGGCAAACACTCCTTCACTCCTGACTGAGAATGTAACAGCAGTGTCCGTGGTGGAGGAATTCCTCTTGGGAGTGGTGACCTGTGGAGGAGACCAGCACCACATGCCCTGTAACTAGCAGCTGTGTCCACTGCATGCCAATAATTCTTATGGAATGAAATGCTATTGAACTATAAAAGAGCCATCCATGTCTCTTGAGTTAATGCATTTGAGGTAAGTGCAAGGTATTATGAGTCTTACTTTCTTGGGAGTTCCAACTTTGAAACTTGGGGAAGAGCAGGCAGTTAAAAAAAGAAATAATCCATGACTGAAGAAATGAGATTGACCACTTGCAATGATGCCAGGGTGCTTATTTTTTAGATCTTGCACCGATTTTGCACATGTGTGGTGAGAACAGTTGGAAGAGTGGTCACTCTTCATCCATGAAGAGTCTTGCTCCAAGGAGTGAGTGTTTTCAGGCGCCAAAGGTGGATGGTGCAGGCTATGTTGATGAATCAACTCAGGTCTGACTGTAGTCCAGGGAATGACTTTCTGGATTGTTTCAAGCCCCTTCTCTGGGGGTTCTTTTGCTGCTGACTCATTGGGAGTTGGGCCAGTTCACTGGTAAACTTCTGGATGATTTACATTTACTGAGGGGAAAAACTGGGTAAAGGGTTTAATGTGCTTTATTATCTCACCTCCAACAGCTAATATAGTATATATATATAATATATATGTATTATATTATATATATTATACATTATATATTTCATCATTTGACAGAGTTCCATTTTCAACTCAAAATACTATTTTTGGGGTAATGCAGATTTTAACATTTTTTATTTTTGAATTCCACTCTACCTAGCAACCTGGAGAGAATTAAAGAGTGCTAGAAGTTGGTTGGAGACCAAGGTTCTCATTCTTGCTCTGTCATTAATTAGCAGTCTGGTTCTGGAAAAATCTTTCTGTCTTTCTACTGTTGCTTTTTAAATTTGTGAAATGAGAAGCCAAGAGTAGCTTCCTTCTAAGGCCTGTTTTTAGTGCTTGGATTCATGAACGTTTTGTCCTGTTATCGTTGAGGATAGAGAAAGGAAAGGAGGCAGAGAAGTTGAGATTTTGTTCCATGGCCTGCCATGAGCACAGATCAAGGTTAGAAGTTAAATACAGTGGTCTTATCGGCACTATTCAATCACATCCAAGCTCTGGAGGCCCAGGGGTTTCGCATGAAATCCACCCATTGGACAGCTATTTTCTATGCCCTTGCCAAAGAGAAAAGAATGGACTATGAACAAGCATAGGTGGTGACTCTCCTTGTCTTCACCTTCCTGAATCTTTCCCTCATTCCTGTTGTCCAGGCTAGCAGGAGGTCTATAGTATATACTCCTGGCCAGAGATGTCGAACAGTGGATAAATAGTCCCCTCGCCTGTAGTCTTTTCACAAAGAGCAAGCAGAGTAGCGCTCTCAATAATGACCTAGATACTTCTCTGGAAGAGACCCATGGCTCTTGGTTTAAAAGGCTGCCCTCAGGAGCAGCACCTCCTACAGTGAGTGGTGGCTCTGGGTTGCTATAGAAACAGATGGAGATTATGCAACTGTCCTACCTCACATACTTTGGGAACCTGTACAGTAATTTATCTGGGCTTCCATAAGCCTCCCTCCAACAGCACAGGGGTAACATGTTAGAGGTATGATGTGCTCAGGACATCAATCCAATTGCAGTTGTGCTAGCAGGTGCTGAGTCTTCCCAGAAGGACCAGGGGGTTATCTCCTGTTTACTTTGAGCTCTGGAACAGAGTAAGTCTGTTTGCAAATGGAACCGTCCTTCTAGAAAAACAGGGTCAAGAACATAATAGCCATGTCCAGCCCAACCAAGATCAATTCTATTAAGAAACAAGTGGGCCAGGGGAACTCCATACCCAGCACTGGCCCAACAGGGTGTGCATCCTCCGAGGGGCCTCATGGAGGCTTGTCGTGAGGGTGGGAAGGAAACTACGCTTCAGCCTCGCCTCCCAGGGACTGCCTAGTGACTTGGATTCAGAAATAATGAGGCTTAAGGGCAACTGGTAGAATGACTATATTTCTGGAAAGACATTTCAATTCAGCTAACAAAAACAGGAGTCCAAAGTGAAGCAATTGACTATGAAAAAAAATGAAGGCACATGAAAAAAAAAATTCCCTCAGAAGCCCATCATTGTGGATTTTCTTTTTGTTGTTGTCATCAATCTTCACAGAGAATTTCAGTCAAGGCCTCAGGTACAGGGCCTGGGGGACTGCTCCACCATCTGGGTGGGAATTGCTGTGGAACTGCAGAGCAAAAGGTCGGGGGGTGGGGTGGGGGGCTGGCCTCCTAGAAGTCTCCCTTCCCAGAAGCCAGAGGCTGGTGAGAAAATTCTCCAGCAACCCACTGGAAGATTTTTTGTTATTTATTCAATGGGCGCTGTGAACCCAGTGTTATAGGTGAAACTGTAAATGGAAAGATCACTCAACCTGATCCCAGCTTGATCCACATTAATTAGAACACAAACAAATGTATCAGCAGTTGTCACTTAGTCAGAAGAGGATGAGCAATACCAGCGAGATGATAAAAAATAATATGAATTTAGGTTCCCCCCGCCAAAAAAAAAAAGAGTATCTCTAATGACATCTTGTTTGTTTGTTTGTTTGTTTTCCCACTGCTGGATTTAAATCTTCATTTTAAGACATCACCTTTGAATCGGTCTCCGTGGTGTAGACCACATATGGGGTTGATTCCAAATTGCTGTATGTCATCTGGAACAAAGTGAGTCACAGCCTTTTACTATTCTGTGCCAATAGTTCGAAGGTGAGCTGCTTGATGCCTTTCGTACATTTTTTGCTGAAAACATTTAATATCTTGTATGTAAATGCTTTACTTCCTTTTGGACATTAGACCATTTTATAAGTGAGCAATGCCTTACCATCCCGAAGTTTCGCAAAGACCCAAGGGCTGGTTCCTCTGGTTATCACAGACTAAGCTCCACCATACACACTGCCATTGGAAAAGGCCCTGGCCTAGAATATGGCCACAGGCAAGAGGGGTGCAGTCGAGCAGGAGGAGGTTCTAGAAGCCCTCTGAGCTGGACCGTGGTCTGCCTAAGGCGGACCCATGATTTGCGACTCTACTTGCCCCACCTCGAGGACCACCACCATTGCCACTGCCCACGTTTCAGCGTCAGGACCAACTCTGAGCCTGAACTTGACCTTTGCTGGTTTCTGTTCCTTGCCACCTTAACTGTATTTTGCTGATTGTGACTGACTCAAGAAATCTGCTCGCATGGAAAGCAAATGAGCGCAAACCAGTTGAGAATCATTTTGTGTGATACGTGTCTTCCCTTGCACCCTCAGTTCGTTCGCTGCCTCCCCTTAGCAACGTCCCAGGAGCTCCCCTCCTACCTGCCGAGCAGTCAGGGCCCTGGTAGCCCTCATGGCAGAAGCACAGCCCTTCCTGGCAGTGCCCTCTCCCGCTGCAGGCGTTTAGACAGCGCTGCTGGCTGCAGTCCTCACCCACGTAGCCCTCCTGGCACACGCAGGTCCCGTTGCTGCATCTCCCCTTCCCCGAGCAGTCTCCGGGGCACCTCAGCTGGCTGCAGTCCTCGCCCGTATAGGCCTCTTCGCAGACACACTCCCCATCCACGCAGAGCCCCCGGGAGCTGCAGTCTGTCGGGCACCGGAGCTCGGAGCAATCATCCCCGCTGTACTCGCTGTCACAGATGCACTGGCCGTCCACGCACACGCCGCGGCTGGAGCAGCCCAGGGGGCAGTAAGGCTCTGAGCAGTTCTTGCCAAACCAGCCCTCATGGCAGATGCAGCCGCAGGACTCGAGGCTGAAGTTGCCGTGGCCGCTGCAGTGAGGGATATAGTCCAGTTGTCCTGGAATGGGCAAGGGGAAGGTCAAAGGGCAGCAGGAGTAACTTCTGTAAATGTTGGACGGGAAGGGGTGGACAAGACTTCCTCTAGTTTTTTTTTTTGCCAAGGGTTAAGCTCTGCCTCATTTAGGACATACTCTATTTCATTGATATTTTCACCTGATATGGGTGCTGGGGGCTAGGATGAGTGGGACGGGGTCTCTTGACCTTCAGGAGCTGAGCTTGAGTCTCTAGATGCGAACCTTAGGTGAAGATGCAGGTGAAAGTGATTTATAGGGAAGTATTTGCAGGAAAAAGTGGCCAGGGAGTAGGGAATGTTTGGGAAGGAAGGATTCCAAGCCAGGGTGCTTTATCAGATAGTCCCAGGGACTTAGTCCTGCAGGATGTTCTGGAAAAAGTGGAGAGCATACCTCCCCAGGGTGAGGTATAAAAGCTCAGATTCTTCTGTTCTCCTGGGGCCTTCCAGGGAGTTTCCCAGAACCGGGGGACGCCCCTGCCAAAGATGTCCAGAGGCTGACCCTGGGCATTGCAGGGGACCCGAGGGCTGGGGCCGGGCAGTGAGTCTGCTGTGCACAACGAGGTTGTGTTTGCTACAGATGCATCCCCTCCCTCTCCTCCTGCTACCTAACTAACTGTGCTCCTTCATCAGAACCAGTGCCAGGTTCACTTCAAAGGCTTCCTGGGACCTCAGCCTCATTTAGTTATTTTTTTGTGGAGATCCCTTTAGGATTCTATACATGTCTCTGTCCTTGCTGCCCCTGGCATGCTGTAAGAGCTGTGGCGATTTTATCCGTCTGAAATGAATCAAACAAACACAGCTCCATACTTGACTGGCTTTCTCTGCACCTGGTGTTGGGGCTAGGGAACCAGGTGAGATTTTCTTGTTTAATTCCAACATTCCCTGTGGCTCCCATGGCCCGAGAGGGTACAACAATGCCAGAGCTCACTATAGCTCTTGACATTGCCCTACATTTTGCCAGGGGGTCAGATAGGCAATTGATAGAAACCATCTCTGAATTGCCCAGTTTCTCAGGCAGCAAAGCGTCTACACCCAGTGACACCTATGATTTCCCTGCATCCATAGCTCCATTGAAAAGGTGAGCTGACCTGACAGTTCTTACAAGGAACAGGATGCCGAACACCTGGGCTGTCTCTTCTGATATTCAGGTTGTTTATTGATCATTTTGGTTATGGGAAGAAAGTGCTGAGAGAACCTGTGAACTATTTCACCATTCAAGGACTGTTCTTATCCCAGTGTGTCTGAGGATGACCTGTCTTATGACCTTCCAGCCAGTGACCCTATATAAGTCCCATTACATGTCATCCTGGCCACCTGTGAAAGCCGTGAGTTACTAGACTCAATAGAATGGAATGACCCACAAAGGCATGACCAATTCTTTTCTTTACAGAATGAATGGCTTGGTATTTTTTGCATGAGAGAATCTGCCAAAAAAGATGACGGATTCAATTTCTGCTCTTGGGGGGGGGGTGGTAAGCTGATAATAGTTACTGCTTTTATGGTGCTTATTAGAAGCCAGACTTTCATCTCAAAAGATGCTTTCATATTTCATAACTTCTAGTCTATCACTGCTTGTAGGCAGGGGATGGAAGGTATGTGTATAACTTGCGTACGTCACAAACAACTCGCTTAAATCTGCTATCCGTGAGGAAGTAGCAGAGCCAGGATTTGGCACTGGGAGTCTTGCTTGAAGACTTAATAACCTCTCCAAGAGCTAAAGGCGGTCATTCTTAAGTGTAACTGTGTCAGCGGGTGGGTGAGGTGTATCTCTGGGACACAACATTTCTGAAGGTGGAATACACTCTGTGGGTGGTGTGGGTGTATATGTGCATGTGTGACTGTGTGCACGTGCACAGGTGCTTGTGTGTATGCAAGTGTGAATTGTGCTTGTAAGTATGTATATGTACACAGGTGCACATGTGATGTGCGTGCACGTGCAACTGTATGCAATCGTGAACATACACTTGTATGTATAAGTATACCACGTGCATACATGATGCATGTACACATGTGACCGTGTGTATGTGCATGCGTGCTTGAGTGTACACAAGTGTGAATTGCACTATGTGTATGTGTATGCACATGTGATGTGTGTGCATGTGTGAGGGTGCACATGTGTGATGTGAGTGTTGGTGGAGGGACAGGGGCTAAAACAGGTCCTCTGAGACATTAATGACTCATTTACCAAGATGGGAGAAAGACTGCCATTGAGTGAACAGCGTCTGCATTCTCTGGTCCCTCAGGTTAACACGGATAGATATCAGTTCAGCAGCCTGTGCAAAGCTAAGATGAATGAAGACAGACATCAAATTCCCTGCTTGCCACAGAAGTTGCTCTACTGAACCCATGTACCGTTACCTGATTCATCCCTCCCCAAATCAGGTTAATGTATTTCAAACTGGCTAAGCAGTGTAGAGAATCCCTGAACGGAATCCCCCGGGAGGGACTGAATTTAGATCTTAGAGTCATCTTAACAGAGCTGCAGCACAGGAGGGTCCTTCCCAGGAAAGAGGAGTGGATTTTGCAGAGAGTAGTGCTGTTCTCATCCTCTCTTCCCCACCCCCACCCTCTGCCCAGCCCCCTCCTTCCCTCTGACCACCTTCCAGCTCCCAGACTCTACCTGTGGCCGCGCTCTCTGGGCAGCAGTTGTGGCACTGACCCCGCAGCAGGGACACCTCCCTCTCCAGCATCTCGATCCGGTTCAGCAGCTCCTGCAGCACCTGGGCAGAGCTGGCGCACAGGCAGGCCTTTTTGGGGAGGTTGATCCTATGGTTGAAGGTGAGCTGGCTCTCAGGGTCTGACGTCTGGCCTGTGTACTCTGCCAGCGCCTCGTCTTCAGCGCTTATGTCCTGCTCAGCTGAGGCCTCCAGCCCCGAGGAGCAGAGGCTGTCCAGAGGCACGTTAATGTTATACACGTGGTTGAAGACCACTGGCTGCTCTTTGCTGGATGTGTTGTAATTGGCAACGCCTCCTTCCTCCTCAGCTGCCTGCCCCGGGACCCTTTCCGTGGTGACCTCCAGCTGACACTCTGAGGGCTTGAGCATGGAGCCCAGAAGGATCAGGTTGACACCAATCAGCATGTTCTTTAGGACTATGGTTTCACCGTCCACCCCCATCCTCAGCAAGAGCTCCAGGTTCAAGACCAGGCTGCAGCACACAGCATGGAGTTTGGGAATCTGCAAAAGAAAGGAGGAAAGAGAGGACTTTGAAATCTGCTTCTGGTCTTATGACTGCTCTATCCTGTGAAGCTCATGTTGTGGTGGCTGAGAGATTTTCAACAGGGCCGTTGGGAAGTGACTATGAGGGCCAGAGAGACCAGAGCATTGTGGTGGGGTGAAGCCCGGGAAACAGATGCTGCTTCTGCAGAGGACACTGCGTTTCCCCAAAAGGTTTATCTAGAACATATGGTTCTGTCCCTTTGGAGGGCCATTGGTTCCAGAACAGAGGACAAGCATGGGGAGCCAGGGGTTCTGAGAACAGGTAGGCAATTCCTCCACAGAGAACTTACTTTTTCTTCCAGGTGAGAATCCGGATTCAGCAGACCATGGAGTCTTAGCTGTACCCATCTCTTTCCCTGGATATTTGTTATGAAGGGGCCCTACCCTTCAGAATAACTGGTTAGCTACTCTAAACTCATCTATTCAATTCAAGTTGAGTTTAGAATAACCAACCAGACAGATAAAATAGTCTAGGTAATTGTGGCTGTTAATAATCCTTGGGTACTTTTGTGATTATCTAGGACTGTGTGAGCTGAACTTTCTTTTAATCTTAATAGAGTCTCAGAGCTTTGTGACTATGGGGTGCCTTTCTTCCGAGGTCCTGTTTCAATTGCTAAAATAATGAATTAGCTCCTCTGTTGGTTACCTAGTCACCAAGAACCATAAAGAACGATAAATTTACTGTCATGCAAATCAGTTTTACAGAAATTATGGTGCTTTGAATTCCCTGTGTAGAGAAGAGTCTTACAAACTTTGGTTTCAAAGATAGTGTTAGAGATACTAAGCAGACTGGGGTTGAAGGCACCCATGAGAGGAACTGTGAATTGAGAAGGCAACAGATGACAGCAAGCATTTACTGATTGTGCTGTTCACCTTATACATGAGGTACCTTAACACCTATATGGGTTTTAAGGGTCACCCCAACTTATAATGGAGGAAATTCTGCCCAGAGAGTTCGAATCAGGCCTAATAGGCTCCCAAACCATCTTTTTAACTGCCGTGTTCCAGGATCTTTCTCATAAAGGATGCTCGATTTTCTAGTCTCTCTGATGGAAACTGAAGAGGTTAGGCTCTTCCTATTGAGATTAGAAAGTTTTGCTTGGGCAGATCTAATGTTCTCCATGAAGCCTTCTTTTCTCAACTCTTTGTCTCTTTAATCGTATCATTTTTTATTGAAGTAACTTGGATGTACAAGATGCTTTATGACTATGGGTAAAGATTCAAACTCTTCAGATGTGTGTTACCACACCTCTTGCCACCAAACCACCCATAATCCTCCACCATAGTCCGTTGAGTTCCTTCTTGCCCCAAAGGGAAAGGATTGCCTCTCCTCCCTCCTTGCACAGGAAGCCTCCATTCTATAGTTAAACAGCAAGCATTTGTTTTGGTTTAGTTTTATCTGTTCCTTTGTTAATATCCCTCATAGAAATAAAATTACCTGGTGGTTGTCTTTCTTCTGATTTCTCCTCCAGTTCTATTCATGTTGTGAAAAATGGCATTTTACCTATCTCTCATTTTTTTCCCCTCTCTGTTACTCATCTGTTTTCCTTAATGTAGGCTAAATGGCCCCTCCCACCCCCCACAGCATCATCATGCTAGATCATAGGTGTCCTTTGCCTGCCTCTCTGCATCTGAACTCAGGTCAGCCATGTCTGATCTGCAACGTGTAATGATATGTGTCTAGGACAGAAAAGTGCTCCCTACGTGATTGCTGAGTGAATGGGTGGGTAGATGCATGGAAGGATGAATCAACAGATGAATTAATGAGCAAAGCTTCAGTGAACATATGGTTGAATCATTCTCCAACTCATTTAATCTCTTTCCATTATCCTCAAGTTATTCATTATTCCCTTCAATTGCAGTTCAACTGAGCAGTGTCTGAAGGTTGATTTTATTAGGAGTAATCTCTATTAGTCACAAGTACAAAAACCATGTCTTATTACTCGGTCCTTAGATATTGGGTTATAACCTGTCCTTGTTTCCAATGAAGACGTTGAATCAAAACAAGTGCTTGCTATTTAGCTGCAGAATGGAGGCTTCTGGAGTGGGGAGGGGAGATAGGAGGTCAAAGGGAAGTGAAGGATCCAATGGACTATGGTAGAGGATTATGGCTGCTTTGGTGGTAGGCAGGTGTGGTAACCCACATCTGAAGAGGTTTGAATCTGTACCCCTAAGTCATAAACAGTGTTGTACATCAATGCTGCCTCCACAGGCAGAGTTGTTGGTACCATGAATCTGAAGCTAGGCTTCCTGGGTTTAAAATATGAAGCTAGACTTCCTGGGTTCCTTTCCAATATAGTCATGGATAGGGCATCTAACCTCCCTTTGCCTCAGTTTCCCCATCTTTAAAGTGGGTTTAATAACAATTTCTACACTTTAGGATTGTTGTGATGATGGAGTTATTATATGTACAATATTCTCACAGTCTCTACTATTGGCAGTATCTAGATGAATAACTATGGTTTAAGAACTAGTAGAATAATTATCTATTTTCCCCACTCCCAGAACTCTCCTGAAATGGCTGTCACATGCGATAAGTCTCATTAACCAGGGCAGGAAGAAAGTCCAACCTCAGCCTATCCTTGTCCAAAGAAGGGTAAGATTCTTGGAGATTTAGGGACACAGGATAAGAGGTGGGAAGCCATCAGTCACTTCTAGGTTGGGGAAATCAGGCATGCAAAAGGTTGGAGTGGCATGACTGAATTCAATCGGTCTTGTAACTTTGTAAGTCTTTTCCAAGTCCTTTCATTCAAGCCACTGCCTTTCCTCCCATTTTCAGGTGCTTTAGGTATTACCTCCCTTGGGAGGAAATTAGAAGGACACTTCTGCCCTACTATCACTGAAAACTTCCCAGGGATGACTCTGCTGTTAGCTGTGTACACTTCAATTTACATTTAAGGCTAAGGAGATTTAGTGCTCTCTCATTAACATTCATTTGTCTCATCTGTGTTGATGTTGCTGACTAGCTTTATCCTTTTGAGAACTGTAAAACTATCACCTAACATCCTTAGTATTCAGCATAGCTTTTTACACCTAGTAGTCACTCAGTAAATAAGTGAAATAAAAAAAAGTTCAATCTTATAAATAAAAAGGAAAATATGACAGGAAAATTAAGAAGGAACAATATTAAGTTCTATACTCCAAAGCACTAACTACAAAGTTATATGTAGAGAGAAGGGTACATGCATAAAAGACAGGTAAGATTATAGTTAGTAACTAAACTTACTAGGAGCCAGTTAATAGTGTGATTTTTGTAAGCTCCCAAATCTCATTTGAACCAAATTAAGTTTTATTAATTGAACTATGAATAAAGAAGAAACAAGGACTTGCTGTATCCTGCTACCAGGGCCATTTATTATTTGGGGTGACTATGATGTTGAAGAGATCTCAAATTTTATCATATGAGAGGACATAGGTCCAGAGAAATGACAGCGGAGAGAGATACATTTGTTCCTTTGCCACTCATTCATCTGACAGATGTTTATTATGTTCCTGCTTCACACTTATTAATAGAAGTTCCATTCAAGCAGTATGTGTAGTGGGTGAGAAGGCAGACAACATAAACATACAAAGTAATTATGTGTATTACTTGCAATGCATCATATCATCCCAGGCAGTCTCTAACACTGACTATGTAACATGCGTATGAGTGTGTGTATGTGTGTGTGTGTGTGCGTGTGTATTACTGCAGGTGGTAAATGCCGTTGAGAAAAATAAGATAGATGGCAGGGGGTTTAGTGTTGATCATTTATTGAGCACAATCATAAAAGACTTCTTTGATCAGAAGACAGCTGAGCAGAGACAGACATGAGTTAATGCATGTTCTAGGCACAGGAAACAGCAAGGAACAGGGACTGTGAGGCATGAGTCAGCCAGGTGAGGTTGAGTGACAGTGAGATTAGGGCCAGTAACTAAGGAGCAGAGGTGGGGAGATGATATCGGGGAGGTAGTGAGGGGCAGATCACACATAGCCTTACAAACCACTTGCAAAGCACTGTGGGTTCATGGTCACTCGTCTCAAATGCATTCACATACCCAACATTTACTGTGACCTTCCTTGTCCTTGTCCTTGAAAAACTCTCTCATCAAAAAGATGGAAACATAGGTAAATATAAAATAATGCAATGTGGTATTTACTGTAGCCAACAGACAGAACGAATGGACATCTAGAAGGGATACAAGTAATTCTGCCCAATGCAGTGGGGAAAGCTACCAGAGGGTAGAGGAATTATCAGTGCCTTTTACCAAGTATTTGCAGCCTAGCTTTCCAGACAGGTGGTAGGACTACATTTCTGCTTTCCTGTTGGGTCAGTGAAGCTATGCCTCTAGTACTGACCAATAAGTAGTGAGAGGAAGTGACATCTGTCACTTATAGTTGAGCATTAATTGCTGCTGGGATACCTTCCAGAACTTTTTCCCTCCTCTAGTGACTGAACAGTATTCTAGATGGGGTCTTCTTTTTCAGTCTGGGTCCCTGAGTGACTATAGTGCACATGGAGCCCTGGAAATCTACTGCATGAGACGGAAACAAGCCCCATGGCATAACCTAATATCTCAGGAGATAATATGGAACTGTATTTTAATGGATTACTCTTTAGGCTGAGAAGCAGAAGTTCATTAAACACAAATTTAACTAAGACTGCTATGTGCAAGCACATGGCTTTGTAAATGTTACCATATAGAACTGGACTTCTATATGGTAAGATGTTCAAGGGAGGTACTTTCCATCAAATGAGGGAATCTACAAGGAAATAGATTTTAGATCCATACAAAGAGTAGCTTTTCCAAACTCATAGTGGCTGAGTTATCATCATAGGTAGTGATTGCCTAGTCACTGGAGGAATCAGACACACCTGGAAAGACTACTTAGCACGTTGAAGAAGAGCTTCAAATTTCACATAAGATTGGACTAAAATGAAGGCTGAAGTCTTCTCTCCTGGTGCTTTGTGCACTCACGT